TTTTTAGTTTGGTTGAAATTATTTTTTTTGGTTGAAAATATTAATTTTGATTGAATTTATTTTTTGTTTGGTTGAAAAAAAATTTCTTGATTGAAATTATTTTTTTTGATTGAAGATGCTTTTTGTTTGATTGAATAATAAAAACACAAATTTACCTCCATACTCTCTTAACAGATAAAAAAGGAGACAAACAGCAGACGTTGCTTTGCAAAAAATAAAAAAAATTTAAAAAGCATGTATTGCTTCATCTGCAGCTCAACCGAGGAGTAATGACATCTCTACCGTTATTAAAAACTGACACGGTCCGTCCTGAGCGCACAGAAGAGATTGTAACATGGAAGTAGAGCTGACAGTTTACAACACTGCACATGCAAGTGCATGTAAACACTTGTGATCGGATTGAGTCCATGTAAACAGTACATTCGGATTATTTAGTCCAAATACAACAATCCGATCAAAAAATTTTGTGCATGTAAACATACTACTGTTGACCAAAAAATTGTCAAAATTTGTCCCCACCAGGTAACAAAAACATGTGCATTCACAGCTGCATCATGACGGCTCAGTGATTAGCACTGATGCCTCAAGAAGGTCCTGGGTGGGTTTGAGCAATGTTGTGGATCTGGGGTCTTTCTGTGATAGTTTACATGTTCTCCTTTTGCTTGCATGGATTTATCCAGGTACTTCGGTTTCCCCCACAACACAAAAATACGGACAATATGTCATCTACAGGCCCAGGCCGCCCTCGCACAAAAGATCTGTGATCTCTGTGAGATTTGCCTGGATAAATGACAGTAAATACAGTAGATAATAACACACACACTGAGTTTCTGTAAAACATCACGTATAAATCAGTGTCCAAAGGCCAAATTGAGATTAAATTTCTGTGATAAGAAAATAATTTTACAGTAAGTCATAAATCAAAAAAATAACCCTTTTGGACTTTGACAGACAATAAAAAGCAAACAAATGTGATTTGTTTTTGAAAACATCATGAAACAAACACGTTTATTGGCCTGAGAAGTTAATGTTAATTTAAATCTAACATTGGACAGATGTTTTATATTTAAATTTCTTTAATGGGTTTATTTTACAATCTTCCACCACTGCACCGTGTTCTGCAGGGATTTTTAAACCTCTAAAGGAAATCAAAAGTTAATAAATTGTTTTTTCAGGTGGAAAAATTCTTAAGATTTTTTAATTTTGACACCACAGCTGAAATTCTGCATCAGAATAATTTAATGTTATTGAGCTCAGAAAATGAATCTGTTAATATAAAATATGAGCTTTTATCAATTTGTGGAATGACTTTTCAGGCAGCTGTGGCAGAGTGGTTAGAGGAGTTGTTCCTCTAATGTGAGAGTTGGCAGTTTAATTCCCTATTCCATCACATGTCTAAGTGTCCTTGGGCAAGAGACTTAACCCCCAATGCCTCTGATTTATGTCCCATCAGTGTATGACTGTGATTTAATGCACTGATTACTCTCTATAGATGAATGTACCTGTAGTAGCTTCGTAGTGATCTAGAGTGCAGTGATGGGTAAATGAGGGCGCAGATTGAACAGCTTTGAGTATCTTGGTTGGATAGAAAGACACTATATAAGTGCAGTCCATTTACTTTAACTTTATACATCTTTAATGTTTCTCTCTGAGACTTTTCTGTAATACATAAACAAATATCAGTATTTATCTCATATTTCTGTCATTTGTCTTTTTTCCAGCAGGTTGAGTTGAATCTGATCTGTTTGCAGTAAACCATCATGGAGGGAATAAACAGTGAGTCCAGTTTAGACTGTTTTTACAAAGAAGAAAACTGACAAAATAAAAAAAATATGACTGAAACAAAAACAAGTGTAGCATGACCAACTGTGACCTTATCTGAAAAAGGGGTGTCTGCACATATAAAAATGCATGTAATTGAAATCATCCTTCTTCACACACCCAATCCCATGATGCATTACAGGTGGAAACTGGCTGTTCACACAGAAATAAAGAGCAAGAAAAAGGAAACCCTGTAGAACTCAAATATCCACTTGCTTCAACAATATTTTGCTTAATTACAGTTTTACTCAAACATTTTTGGACATGTTCATTGTCGCTTACCTCTGCCCAGCAACTATCAGTCCACTTCCTGCTGGAGACAACGTTTGACTCTCGGGGCACATTTTTATACTTGGGGTGGAAACAATTGCTTCTCAATTATTCAATATAAAGTCTTATGCATTGACTGTGACACACATGCATTTCATGACATTGTAGCACTTGTGCTAAATATTTTAATGAAATATTTAGCACAAATGATACAATGTCTTCCTAGGTCTTCTTAGAACCTAGGTCTTCTTAGAACCTAGGTCTTCTTAGAACCTAGGTCTTCTTAGAACCTAGGTCTTCTTAGAACCTAGGTCTTCTTAGCAATAACTAAATATTATTTAGTTATTGCAGGGTGTCTGGGCTCTCCCTTAGAGATAGGCTGAGANCTCCTGGACTCCTCCCTGGTGAGGTGTTCTGGACACGTCCCACTGGGAGGAGACCCAGAGGAAGACCCAGGACACGCTGGAGGGACTATGTTTCTCAGCTGGGAACACCTTGGGATTCCCCCAGAGGAGCTGGTCCAAGTGTCTGGAGAGAGGGAAGTCTGGGTCTCTGCTGAGGCTGCTGCCCCCGAGCCCTGACCCTGGATAAGTGGCAGAAAATGGACTGACGGAAACGGAAAGCTTTTCAGAGTTAATTTCAGCCCCCAAGTGTTATTATAACACTTTCTGAATTAACTGATATCCAGTGTTGGTGTTAATTCACAGAGTTGATTTTGCCAGTGTTGTCTCGACTCTGGACAATGTTAAATAAGCTCCGCCCACTGTTAAGTCTTAACACTTAACAGTGTCGTTATATAACACAATGCAGTGTTGAAAGAAGGATTCTGTCCTCTTCCTCATGGACCAGGATTTTCTCAACAAGGAATGCTGGGTAATACACTGAAATATGTATTTGATTTTTAAACAATGAATAAGAGGCAATGAACAGTCATCCCTCTCTTTACTCTCTCATTTATCTTCGATCATTTAACATTTCTGCAGGACATATTAAAGGGTGTGTCAGGGGGAGGAGTTTTGTGTGCTCAATTTCACATTCTTTAAGATGAATAAAGGAAAGGATTGCAGAAACATGAGTAGGCAGTTTGATACATCTGATGTTCTGTGTGTACCCACTTTTCACGTTTGGTCAGTATGCTAACTTTGATACATGAAGACCCAAATCAGTTTTATCAAATCCATGACTGTAGGCAATGATAGTAAATGTTTCTTAATGTTTCTTTGTCTTTGTTGTTCTGCAGATCCTCCCTACAAAATTGTTTTGTTTGGGAAAAATGAAGAAAAAAAGACCAGAATTGGAAACGTTCTTATTGGAAAATCAGGAACACATTTCCTAAAACAAACATCCAAGACATGTGAGGTCACATACGGGGAGTGGAAAGGATCTCCATTAAGGGTGGTTAAAACCCCGAACTTCTTCAGTATGTCCCAGGAAACTATTAAAGAAGAAATGAAGACATGTGTGAGTTTTTGTGAACCTGGACCAAATGTTCTGCTGCTGTTAGTAAAACCCTCCTCATTCAGTCTGAAGAAGAGACAAACCCTCAACTTCATCTTCAGTTTGTTTAGAGAAGATGCCTTTAAATTCTCTATGGTTGTCAGAACACATGATGAGAGGAACTGTTCGTCAGTCATACAGCTGATTGAAGACTGTGGTAAAAAACAGTACAATATGTATGAAATTGAACAAAGAACATTGATGAAGAAAGTCTGGAACATCATAACTACAAACAGTGAAGCCATCCTCACCCTCACTGATGACATAAAACCAGAGCCACACCAGATGAGACCTCCTTTAAACCTGGTTCTGGTTGGGAGCAGAGAAGCTGAGAAGACTTTAGCAGCTAAATCTATTTTAAGTAAGACAGATCTTCGTCCAGCCTCCAGCCCATCAGAGTGTGTTAAACATGAGGCAGAGGTGTGTGGACGTCAGGTTTCTGTGCTGGAGATGCCTCCTCTGTACAGGAAACCACCTGAGGAAGTGATGGAGGAATCCCTCAGGTGTGTCTCCCTCTGTGATCCTGAGGGGGTCCATGCCTTCATCCTGGTCCTACCTGTGGGTCCCCTCACTGATGAAGACAAGGGAGAGTTACAGACCATCCAGGACGCATTCAGCCCTCGAGTCAAAGACTTCATCATGATTCTGTTCACTGTGGACTCAGATCCTGCAGATCCAGCTGTTSTTAACTTTATAAAGGAGACCAAGGAGATCCAGGAGCTCTGTCAGAGCTGTGGAGGAAGATATTTTGTTCTTAATGTCAAGAACAAGATGCAGATCCCACAACTGCTGAAGTTTGTCGACAACACAAGAGGGTCTGATGATAAACCAAAGTCCTACACAACAAATACACATGCAAATGCTGAAATTGAAAAAAACATTTGTAATCAGCAGGCAGAACATCAGGATCTAAAGATAAAGAAAAATTCCAACAGTAAGTAAACTTCACAGTCCAGTTATGATCTGAATCTACTTTGTGTTTCTGCAGCATATTACAATCTGTGGCTGTAAGAAAATTACACATTGCTCTATGTGTACAGTATGGAGTAACACAGCTCTGTTGTAGCTGTGGCATCAGTGGCTCAAAATGCAAAGATATATTTGACGGGTGGATTGAGATTTTATGAAATAGCTTACCTCTTGTGGAGACAGTGTCTTTGGTAGCATTGATTTCTTTCTCGGTGCAGAATATCACTTAAAAAGTTTAGACCAAATATTTATTTTCTTTTTTTAGGGCCTGTTTGGATTGTCACAAAGAACAAAGGATTAAATTTTGATGATCATATAGCAACATCTACCAGAGCTGCAGCTTGCCATAATCTGACACAAACAGAAACTTAAAACAAAGAACAGAGCCAGAGGCAGCAAGGGTCTCGCTGGAGGTGTGCACTCTTAGAGTGTTCCTAATTAATATGAAGTTTAACCAGCAGCAGTCAGTTTTATTTCATGGGGGAGAGGCTGAAACACCACACATTGTGACACCCCAAATTTAAGTCCAATGCAAACACAATAACTTACTGTATGAAGGCAGCTGCAGACTTTGGGAGGGCCAACATGTACAATATAAAATCCAGTCCAAGGGCTCGCAAGGTTGTGCTTCGCGGGCACCTGGGAGCGACGGGTTGGGCATACCTGGATCAAACAAACGTGTCCTTCACACATGCAGGAAGTAATTTGCATCTGTTTAACATATGCTAATGAAGGCATGTCAGGGGAGGAGTCTCACCTGCGCTCAGTTCCACGTTAATTGTGATGTACAAAAGCAATGTGTGTGGATTCAGGCGTACGCACAGTTTGATACATCTGGATTTTTTGTGCGTACGCCGTTTTCTGGATTTGACCGTACGTTACGTTTAAGTAAGAAATCCACGCAAGTCGTTGTACATGAGGCCCCTGTCCTTAAATATCTCAGCTTGTGTTCAGTCTATCCTGATCCAGGTTGGATCCTCTCTGACCTTTCCAACCTCAGGGTGGATGTGGTGACTGTGATAAACTGCACTCCTTAATCTCTCAAAATTCTGTATCAACCTCTGCCACTGATGTTTCTTCTTCTCTTCCAGGTGTTGAAGAGCAGCAGAGTCCAGAGAGTCTCAGGATTGTTCTGATTGGGAAGACCAGCTATGGAATAAGCACTTCAGGAAACACCATTCTGGGTCGAGATGAGTTCAAAGCCGATGGCATCCAGATATCTGTCACCAAACAGTGTCAGAAAGCTCAGGGTGAGGTGGACGGTCGGTCCGTCACTGTGGTTGACACTCCAGGATTTTTTCACACAACAATGTCTAATGAAGAAGTTAACAAGGAGATGAAAAAGTGCATCAGTCTGCTGGCTCCAGGACCTCATGTCTTCCTGTTGGTGCTACAGATCGGCAGGTTCACTGACGAGGAGAAGGAAACTTTAAAACTCGTGAAGCGAGTCTTTGGAAAGATGTCTGAAAAGTTCATCATCATTCTTTTCACCAAAGGAGATTCTTTAGAGCATCACTCAATGTCTGTGGAGGAATACATCAACACAGGTGAGGACTTCATCAAGAACCTG